GCAGGAGTGGCAGGAAGATGTGACCGAAAATAACGAGTTTCACGGCGTTCTTGAAGTCGCACGGCGGATTACTTTTGATGGGCCATATATACTCCATCAGGATGGCACCTATCGAAGTGCCGGTGGTGTAGCCGAGATTGGAAAATCCTGTGATGAGCGCATACACCGTGCTCTCAGAACCGCGCGGGCACAGACGTGACAGCAGCAATGAAATTGGAATCCATGCAAGCATGTTAATCAGTGGTATAATGAAAGTACTGGTACCAATGTAAAAAAGGTGATCGGGAATCCCGATCTTTATATTCCAACGCTTAAGCACCATGACCTCGGGCAACACACAAGGTACGAGTACAATCGTGGTAATGATCGTGATTTTGCGGTAGTTGGACTTTGATAGGAAATGTTTAAACACCCAAATACCGGTTAAACTTGCAATATTTGCAACAATAGAGCATACAGTGTATTTGAAAGTTATAGAAAAGTGTGGCCCACCAGGAACACAATCGGGTCCAGCAATGTAGAACTTGTCGATACCAGGTAGATTTAAGAAGACCAATGACGATAGGTAATAAAACACATTAAGCTTTGCAATAACATAAGGTAGTGACCAGAGGGACATCGCAGAGCACATCAACGACACAGATAAGCAGGTAATAAGCAACCCTAGCGTATTTGCAAAGATGTTACCTAAAGCCATGATTATGACAGCGACTGTCAAGACAGCACTGTATGCAACAACCCTCTTGCTTCGGAGTGCGACCTCCTTGTTGATCTCGATAAGTCCACAGCAACCACTGATCGGCTGCGGCAGCAGAAGCTCTGGGCTCGCATCGTTCTGGTATGCACCTTTGTGTTCCATCGGCTTTTGCGCCTGCTGCTGGTTTGTGTGGGTAAGGTTCAGGGGCATATTATTAGCCAACACCACTGTCTCGCCGTCGCCGATCGGCTCCAGCTGTAGAGCCTTTCCCTGATTCACATCGAGACTGTCTTTCTTCCCTTCCTTACGGCTTAGGGCTTTCCCCTTCTCGAGCTCCCGGAGTAGCTCCTTGTGCATAATACGTGCATCCTCAATGCGCTCCTCACGGTTCATCTTCTCGCCGTACAGATTGAAGAGGTAGACGAATGATGTGACGAACTGTAGCCCAGCGGCGATGAACACACCGACTTGCGGTATCTTAAGATCGGCTAACGGGCCCATGATTATAGTACCTGCAAAACGTCCGATTTTGGTAATTGACCAAACCCAGCTCACCAGTGCCGGCCCAGCCTTGGGGATCTTACGTACCAGACGGCTGTAATAGCCTTCGGAAAGTGTGTCCACACTGGCCAAGCCATACAAACTCAGGAAGATAAAAGCGGCAGCAATGTCACCAGACGACGGTTTGGCGGGCAGCAGGCCGTAGAGCAGTACGAAGACACTGCCCACCACGCACGAGCCAAACATGTACCAGCGCTTTGTGTAACCGAGGAAGGCAAATGTATCGCATACCACGGCGGTGAAAGGCACGATGGCCCAAGCAAGCTTCGTAACGGCGGTGAGCCGCTGGTAGCGGGCTGCTTCTACTTTGTAAACATTGATAAAGATAGGGAAGACGGAGCTTTTTGTAAATCCAGCCGACAAACCCTTGCACAGTAGGTAGGAGATGGCGAGACTGATGGTGCACACGGGGCCGTATGCCTCGCAGGTCTCGCCGAAGATGGGAATGCGGCGTAGCACTGGTGCACGGTCGAAAAGGCGCTTCGCGTCGGGGTGGAGAGGAATGCCGGCGTCGTCTTCGG